CGTGAATTTTGCAGCTAAATTCTAGAAGTTATTCATAGAAAGATGTGTTGAAAATATACAGCAGGGGGTCTAACCTTATTCACAGTCTGAGCTACTGTTTAAGACAAAACCAGTTACTCACTTAAAAGGCTGGAAGAAAAAGAACATTTACTTGATGGTAAGAAAATGTTTTGTCTATTTTATCCATTATCTTATATCAGTTTACAATAGGCATGGAAATCATGAATACATTTTTATATTTAGCATATTATTCATCATTTCAAAGGTTTTTTCAGAGTTTTTTGAAGTGTTAGGATAATCCCTCCGTGTATCAATCGATGTATGAGGCATCTTGATTTTGTTCATTTTCCAACCTCAAAACAGTGTTGCACTGATTTCTATCTGCATGCACACTATCTACGGCAGGGGTCTCCAACCTGCAGCTCTCCAAAGGATTTAGAAATGAACAAATCAAATATTTTATTTAATATAAAAAGTAGCTTGCTCTGTGAAAAAGGTTGGAGACCTCTGATATAGGGGTACAACTTTTATTTTTTTAAACCCAGGTGGTAAAAGTCACAACAGCAGTTATCTCTATGGCGTGACAGAAATGTTGATTTGTCAAGAGTTTTTACATATAGAGCTGTTGTGTTCAGTTCTATAGGACCTGTGCATGGTTAATCACTTTACACACATGCATAAATGTTAGAGGTGCTAACCACTTTTGCAAAAATAAAAGCTGTCGATGAACATATCCGTCTTTGATTCGACAGGATGCTGTTCAGTGTGAGTGAGGTGTTAGCAGGCTTCACTTCTGACGAATACCACCGCTGCTGGTGTTACCTGCTGGTACCATGTGGATAGATAAGATGAATGGTGTTTGTAACAGTCTGATACATCTGCAAGATATGGACAGCTTTGATTAAGGAGAACGTCCAACAAAGCTTGATAAAGATTCAGATTAAGACTCTATAAATAGACAAATAAAACTGAAATCTCCTAGCATCTGTACATGTTAGCATCTGTACATGTTAGCATCTGTACATGTTAGCATCTGTACATGTTAGCATCTGTACATGTTAGCATCTGTACATGTTAGCATCATGAGGCCCTGGGACACAGTGGCTAAGTAGAGCAGCAGTGGACACATATTGCACGTTCTGACATTTTTAAAGTCAAAGCAAGATTTGCAAGATTAAGCTTTGAAGATGTGTTCCTGAATTTGACTTAATATCACAATGTTTTCATCACTCAATGCCAACATTAAAAGTGAATTCTTCAACTACCCTGATGCTACCTGCTTCTTGTGCTAGATAAGAAACTACTTAGCTTGAAATGTCGCTGAGTTTGATTCAATTATGGGTGATTTATAGTGCTTTAAAAAGGAGAAAACTCATCTCTCCTCAGAAATAACTTGTAACTTAGCCTGTGTGTGTACTTGCAAACTTGTTCCCAATGTAATATGACAAACACCACACATAATCCAAGCAAAACAACAGCATTTAGTTCAATCCAAGCAACAAACAGGCCCACCACCAGGACGGTCTAGGAATGCATACACCCTGAAGATGTCCAAAGGCTTTGTAAACAAGGTGAGTAAAGTACAGTACTATATGGACCTTTAACTGGCAATGGAATTCAAAAGACTGATCAATACTACAGCATCATATACACACAGAGAGAAACGCTGTAAGGATTCTGACAGTACCGCTGCATGCGCTGAGACAAAGGGAATAGAGAAAAACACCTCACCCTCAGGTACAGTGTTGCTTTGTTGCTCATTAAACTTGCAGAGTTTGAAGTGTTTAGCCGGTGCGTTTGTTGACACAGAGGTGCTGCGGGATCCGTATGAGGCAAACATGTTGTAGTGCCAGCCACGGGCCCGCCTCCTCTACACTCAAGCCAGTAATGAGAGCTGCGAATACGTACAGCCGTTAAGATGAAACAGACTGTATGATCCATCAGCTGCTACAATGTATACGGCGCTGGGAGTCGAGAGAACAATTGTACTCCTTCCAGTATTTTGAGCTGTCCATAAATAGGTCTCATTGTACTGACATTTCCCCAGTGTAGAAGAAATAAAGGTTCTCTTACTGTTTGTAGAATGTATAAATAAATACTAGGATAAATGCTAAGGTCCTGGGGATAAATGGGGCATTGACTTATGTTTTAGTTGGTGGTATATGCTCAGTGTGTAAAAAACTCATAGAATTTATCATTTTTTGTTTCTTAGCACACAGGAATAGAAAACACGTCATGTGCTTTGTGTGACCCTGGTCTGTGAAATATCCATCCATCCATCCATCCATCCATTTTCTTCCGCTTTATCCGTTGCCGGGTCACGGGGGCAGCAGTCTAAGCAGTGACGCCCAGACTTCCCTATCCACACACACCTCCTCCAGCGCGTCCGGGGGGACCCCAAGGCGTTCCCAGGCCAGCTGAGAGACATAGTCCCTCCAGCGTGTCCTGGGTCTTCCCCGGGGCCTCCTCCCGGTGGGACGTGCCCGGAACACCTCCCCAGGGAGGCGTCCAGGAGGCATCCGGAACAGATGCCCGAGCCACCTCAGCTGGTTCCTCTCCACGTGGAGAAGCAGCGGCTCTACTCCGAGCTCCTCCCGTGTGACTGAGCTCCTCACCCTAATTAAAAATATCCTAATTTAATAAAGATGACTTACTTATCATTACACAAATGATTTGTATTTTGGCACAAATGAGAAAATACATATTCTGCTTACTATTATTATATTCGAAACGCCTTTACATAGGGGTGGAAAAAAACCGTGTAGCATGTCATGATAGCTGTACTCACCTCTTACTGATTATGTATGTTTACAGTCCTGCACTATACAGACCAAAAGATAGCATCAGGATTATGTCGTCATATCTACTTTTTTAGAACATAGAGCAAAGATGTCGAAACAGACTGCTCCATCTGCATTATTACTCTCTGCAGAGGACTGGAGTGAAGGGGCCTGCTGGTGTGCAGCTTCCACACAAAGGCACATAACATGAATATTGAATTTAGCTCTGATCAACAGTTGCTTCTCCGGGCTCAGATTGAATTATCCTATATGGCAACAGCATTATGCTGAGGATTATTACGTGCTCTCTGGGAGATTTGCTTTATTCATTTCGCCTTTTGTTGCTGATGACTGGAGCACTCCCCAGAGAGCAGCCCACAGAATTGATTTTTGACAATCCATGCTTCACCTTCTCGAGTCCCACTCTGGTGTGACACTCCGGCAAATCAACTTTAAAGCAGAGGCTGACAGATCCTGGCGTGGCACACCATATAAACAGCCATTATTTCTTCAGAAAGCTCTTTTTGTCTTGTACGGGGGCTTCAAAGTGAGCGCATCCCCGTTAAGACACGCCACGCTTTAGAAGGCACACAGTGGGACTTTGAAAGCAGAAACTACAGCAGAGAGAAGAAAGAGGGAAGGGTGAGAGGGGTACACTTCTCCAAAGCCTGATTAGACAGAGCTCTCGTGTTGCACATCCCAGGTGACGATGTACTGCTTTAGAACAGGTGAACAACCTCCAACTTTGAGCTGTCAAGGGCACAGTCACACAGCCAGGCAGCAGGATTAGAATAAGCCACAGAAAACTTGTTATGCTATAGATTTCAGTTTAGTGTCACAACTGTATCTGAACATGGGTGAATCTCTGTTTTCTATGCAGGCATGAGATAATCATTTAAAGCATTACTAAACACATGCGGTTTTAGAGAACAATTCCCCATTTGACGTTATGTTCTGTTCCATTCATGCAACTCTCCCACATTTCAAATCTGTCTCCCACTGATCGCAGTATTAAAGTGACTCTTTCTCCTTATGGGTTTTCTCAAGGAACTCCTGCCCCGTGGTGCTCACTGTTGGGGGAAAGTAAGCTGAGAGTTGAGCAAAGAGTCATGGTGATGAGGAGGAGACTATTTTCTCGATGAATCTTGAACTATAGGCATGCCTTGTTTGTTCTGACCTCTCCTTTTCCCTGTGTTCTGCTCTTAAATACCAGTCTGCACATGCCCCACTGTGACAAATGTATATAAAAAGGGGTGGAACAGTGGATATAACTTGTGCTTCACAGTGAGAAGGTCCTGGGTTTGATTCCACCTCCAGTACTTTTCTGTGTGGAATCTGGTGTATAGCTTTGGTGAATATTTGGTGAAACTGAATGTGTATTTCGTTCATTTGAACAAGAGACTTCTAAAGTCCACAGCGGCTAAACTAGACTGGTCCAGAACACTCAGCATTGACACACATGTGGAACGGAGCTTTGGGCCAAGAGACAACTTTTGGACCATCCTGTAAAGACGTTTTTGAGAGGTCTGCCAATGCTATATGTTAGCATTGGCTAATTCTTATTCCGGGTCCACCCCCACAGGCCCGGGGTGGTACTGCCGCATGTCAGCGCACGTCATTTTGGCCACTTTTGAGCCAGGACCCGCCCCCAGTGGTCTCAAAGGGGAAATGTCCCTGGAAAGACCCAGGACACACTGGAGGAACTACTCTCTCAGCTGGATTTCCGTAGATGAGCTGGAAAGGTTGGTGCTGTTGCTCTCAATCTACGCGATTCAAATCACGGTTTCTTTCTTTTGTATACATCATCATCAGGCGGCCGACTCTGACGTAGCCACATCCTCATCTCTAGTGGAAAAGCCGGCTTCTATAGAGGACATCCGGTGATTCTGTGCTTGGCAGTATGCTCAGGCTCGCCACACTTACATGCCCCACGGTCTGAAAGGCCCAACTTCTTCAAAAATTACTTGAAGCGTCCACACAAAGACGTAAAATAGAGGTTGAGTCACAGAGCACATCCATTGTTTGTCAATGGATTTTGCTTCCACCTGATACAAGACTTGGCAGAGTTTCAGGATGTGATATCTGGATCTGCGCCAAGTTCTCACCAGCCTCCATGGTAATCACAGATGATCCGTAGAAGATCACTGATGGCTTCTCCTTTTACATTGTCTCCTGGGTCCTGGATGTATTGTTGAATGCGGGAGGGCCCATCGATCTCCCATGGCCGTGTGCAGGATGCTGCAGGACAGGCATCGCTGGATGGGTCCAGATGGGAGAGAAGATGACAGCATGGTGTGTAGTGATAAATGGTGCAAGACTAAAACTATTGTTGCCAATTTTCTAGCCGAGGAAAATGGATGAAAGAATGTATCTTGTTTTATGTACAGGCTTTTGTGTCTAAAGATGTAGATGCTCTGAATATGATTTAAGAATAATCTCAGTTAATAAAAACATGTTTTAAAGTGTGCTAAGTGGTTTAACATGACCTTGATAGCAAACTGATGCTGCTATCATGTGGTGTGATTTGTGATACTTCGATGACATATATTGGAAACATAATTGTGAGGTTTCAGTCTGATGCTCTTTGTTTGTATTTTCAAACAAAAAGCTGGAGAATCCAACTTTGCCTCGGAGCACCTAATCAATCCCGAATTGAATGTGTGTTGGTAAAATTCTTATTTAAGTGTGCTCCAGTGACTCTGCTGTGTCACATTGACATTCTGATGGATAAATAGTATAAAAGCGGTCCGCCTGCAGTCAACGCCTCTGTGTTTCTGACACGGCCATTCCACGTCACAGTGCTTGAAAAATGAGCTCCGCGGAGGCAGCATTCCTGCCATGAGACTGCACTTCATAAAGGAGAACGGCACACAGGGGTGAAATTCCACTGTAGGGTTATGGATTTTCCTCTACATCACTGATAGATTGCACTAATATAACCTCAATAAAGAGTTTGAGAACAACTTTATGGATGTTTTCCCCCTTCTGTCATCTCATTTCTCCCCTCTCTGATGTGTGCGTCTCTTGGTTCAGTCTGTCGGCCTGTCAGTCAGCGCTCTCTCCGGCACTCAGGAGGCGCTCATCCCCATAACCTGCACCAGCTCGCTCCCGGCTACAGCACGGGGACGTTTGGGAGACTGTCATGTGTACATTGCACACGTTCTTAAATAACATCACTTAGACACCAAAGACACAAAGGCTTATTTTTTTAATAGAATCTTTGTTGATTTGAGAAAAGCAACAGATACAGTTTGGGATCAAGTTTAGTTTGTGGGAAGAATCGAGCGAAGTGGGAGAATATTTGCTCAAGGATGTTTGGCTGTGAACAAACAAATGCATTGTTTTCAATCATTAATGAACAATCTGCTTTAAACAGCAAGTTGTTGAAATGATGCAAGAAGAATTTCAGGTTTTCTGCACTGCACTGCGGACGATTTCATTGTGTAGTAGTTTTATGTCTGATGTTGCAGCGGGGAATTGTGTTGCTTTATCAGAACTGCTGAGGACTGAAGTGATCAATGAATGGTCTTTTTTTTTCTCCTGGAACTGGGAATGTGGGGAAAATGAACCACACAGCGTATTTCAGTTACAGCTTCATATTTATTGATTGACAGATTTGAGAAATGGTTTTACGATCATTGTCATGTTAACCGTCAGCTTTTTGTGCTGTACATTTTCCCTGCGATCTGGAAATAGCTCAAAAACAAGCACAAAAAGGCAATAATACTTTCCACCATCACATTGTAGAGAATTACAATGTTTCCTCACTGCTTTTTTTTTTAAAGTTAGTTTGTATGGTTACTTATTCTATTATGAACACTTAGAGTAGAAATCAGGAAGGCTATTTTTCCATCCATCCCTTTCTATTTTGCCAGGAAGGTCAATTATTTATTATTATTTAATGTATATACAGTATATTAATAATAATAATACAATAATGTAATTGTCAAAACATTTTTGTTTTTGTGGGTAATTACTTTGACCGGATTTACCAGACAACTTTAAGATATAAGCTTACTTCATTGATTAGATGCAACATGTTCACTTAATGATTTTAAGGTGATTTTAATATTCATGTGGATAATGGCAATGACAAAAATGCAAAAGAGCTGAGTTCTGTACTTGAAACATTTGGTCTCACTCAGCACGTGAGTGGCCCCACCCACAGCAAAGGGCACACTCTAGACCTGCTGGTTACAAAGGGGGTTAATATTTTAAATGTAAATGTGGTTGACGTGGCTCTGTCAGATCACTTCTGTGTATTTTTTGACATGTGTTTTGATAGTAAACAACCATATATATCTGAATCTGCAATTGTCAGACACAGACACATAAATGAAAACACAACCGAACTATTCATGGGAATGATAAACTTTGAGAACACATTGTGTTCTACTGTTGACGAATTGTTTAACTCTGTCACCGCCAATGTTATAAATGTTCTGGACATCATCGCTCCTGTGAAGGTTAAAATGATTACAAATAAGCCAAAGGCCCCCTGGACTAAAATGGACTCAGTCATGGTACAGAAGAGAGAGTGCCGTAGGGCCGAGCGGAAGTGGCGAAAATCCAATCTCCAGGTTGATCATGATATCTTCAAAAATGAGTTGTGCAAGTTTAACAGGGTGCTACGTAGAACAAGAGAAATTTATTTTTCTAACACCATTGATGGCTGCAATAATAATCTACGACTTATGTTTTCAACAGTTAACGGATTAACAAACCCCCCTGTTCAGCTGCCATTCGAATTTGCTTCAGAATCTAAATGTAATGAGTTTGCACAATTTTTCAATGACAAGGTTCAGAGCATCAAAAACGCCATCACCTCCAAGGCAGAAATAACATTACAACAGCCGGTGAGGCTGTTTGAGCTATCGCACTTTGCACCAACAGATAATGAAACTGTCCAAGATGTTGTCTCTAGCCTTAGTTCCTCCACATGTAGCCTGGATGTACTACCCACTAAATTTTTTAAGTCTGTTTTGAGCAGTCTTTTACCTTTGCTCACACAAATAGTGAACATGTCTTTCTCATCTGGAACATTTCCAATGGCCCTGAAAAAACGGCAGTCATCAGACCCCTCCTAAAAAAGAGGAGTCTAGATGCCACAGTTCTTAAGAATTATCGCCCCATTTCAAATCTGCCGTTTATGGGAAAAATTCTGGAAAAAGTTGCTTACCAACAACTTACAGAATTCTTAGTAACTAATAGTTCCTTTGATGCGCTCCAGTCCGGCTTTAGAGCCAATCACAGCACTGAGACTGCACTAGTGAAGGTTACAAATGACATCCGACTTAACACCGACACAGGAAAAGTCACAGTTTTAGTAATGTTGGATCTGAGTGCTGCGTTCGACACAGTCGACCACGAGATCCTCATGCAGAGACTAGAGCACTGGGTGGGTGTCACTGGGACTGCCCTAAGTTGGTTTAGGTCTTACCTAGAAGACAGGAAATACTTGGTTCAGATAGGAAACTGTGTCTCAGATCATATGGCTCTGACCTGCGGAGTGCCACAGGGATCAATTCTGGGGCCTCTTCTGTTCAATATTTACATGCTGCCGTTAGGTCAGTTAATACGCTCCAACAATGTATCCTACCACAATTACGCTGATGACACTCAAATTTATGTCTCACTTACTGCAGGAGAACATGGACCAGTGGAATCACTCCTTCACTGTACTCAACAGATTAGTGATTGGATGCAAAATAACTTCCTTCAGCTAAACGCAGACAAAACAGAATTGATTGTCTTTGGTCCTCAGAAACAAAGAGAGAGCGTTATTCATCACCTCCAGTCTCTCTCCCTGGAACCTGTAGGCAAGGTCAGAAACCTAGGAGTTATAATGGACTCAGACTTAAATTTTAACAGTCATATCAAATCAGTAACATCAGCAGCATTTTACCATCTGAAAAACATTGCCAAAATTAGAAACATAGTGTCTAAATCAGATCTGGAGATTCTCATCCATGCATTTGTCTCCAGTAGGTTAGACTACTGCAATGGCCTGCTCACAGGTCTCTCCAAACAGGCTGTAAAACAACAACTGCAGTATGTCCAAAATGCTGCAGCTCGAGTCCTGACCAGGACCAGGAAATATGACCACATTAGTCCAGTTCTCAGGTCTCTGCACTGGCTTCCTGTGGCTCAGAGAATAGACTTCAAAGCAGCACTGCTTGTGTACAAGTCTCTCCATGGCCTCGCACCAGGGTACTTGAGCGACTTGTTAGTCCCATATGAACCGGCCCGGACTCTGAGGAGCACAGGAGGTAGCCTCTTACTGGTTCCAAGAGTCAGAACTAAACATGGGGAGGCAGCGTTTGAGATTTATGGAGCTAAAATCTGGAACAATCTTCCTGAAGATGTGAGGCTAGCATCTACTCTGGCAATTTTTAAATCAGGGCTAAAAACTGTTCTTTTTAGCTGTGCATACGGCTGAAGGATTTTATTGATACATACTCTTTTTTTTAATGCATTGTGGTTATTTATTATTTTAATCCCGTGTGTGCTTTTAATATTTAAAGTTTTTTTTTTTTTTTTTTTTTTTTTTTTTTTTCATTACTTGTGATTTTATTCTGTTTTTAATGTATTTATTGATGTCTCTGATTTGTGTGATATTATGTGGGTTGTGAGGCGCTTTGAGTGGCCTTGTGTTGGAAAGGCGCCATACAAATAAAGTTGATTGATTGATTGATTAATTACCGGTTTTGCATCCACCAGAATTAGTCTAGTTTAAGTGAACCAGACCAACGTGTGTAAACCTGCCCATATGTACACACAGAGGTCCAGTGGCGAGGTTAGGGAACATTATTTCTAGAGCTCCATCTATGCTTAACAATTAACTATCTCACATCATCGGTCTCTGTAAAGCCCTTTGGCTCCTCAGGTGTCTCCAGATCTGGTCAGCAGGCCCCATACAGCAGGCCCCATGCAGCAGGCCCCATGCAGCAGGCCCCATGCAGCAAGCCCCATACAGCAGGCCCCATGCAGCAGGCCCCATGCAGCAGGCCCCATGCAGCAGGCCCCATGCAGCAGGCCCCATACAGCAGGCCCCATACAGCAGGCCCCATACAGCAGGCCCCATGCAGCAGGCCCCATGCAGCAGGCCCCATGCAGCAGGCCCCATACAGCAGGCCCCATGCAGCCTTCTGACCTATTACTACGGCACACATCTCTTCATCAGTCTGTAGCCAAAATTCCCTCTGTCTGCTGCCACCTCAGGGGACCAACTCCATCACCTATGCCCCATCCATGTCTTAATGATGTCTGGACAAAGCACAGACCCAGCTGTGCCTTCCCTCAGAGACGCTCCTCACACCGGGGCCCTGCTCCAGCGCTGCAGTCGTGTTGGGTAACTGGACATGGATCTCATCTGTGTCTCTTCTGTGTTAGACGGTGCTCAAAGGTCCAGCTGAGGCCTTTTCTTACAATAGATGCAAGACATTCTGATGGTGACTGGGGGTAGATTTGTCTTTTAAGCTGCTTGGAAAACACTTTTTATTCTGTACGAAATGTGCTATACAAATATATATTTGATTGGTTATGCAATGTCTTGTGGGTACTTTGTTTGCACTTGTATACAGTAGAAACAGACATTTTATATCTGTTTTTACTTGTATAACTGTTTGTGACTTCCTGTTACTTATAATGGCCATACAAAAAATGATTACATCTTATTCTGAAATATCAATATGTTGGTCATGTCCCATTTAAGATTGATTTTTTGTGGGATTCTCCATTATAGGCGAGATTGGGGATGAATAGTGAAATGGTTTGTTATTGTAGTCTTAGCCTGAGTTTGGGCCTTTTCATCGATGTGTGGACAAGTTGGTTTTTCCTGGAGACAAACCCAAGGATTGCAAAAGATTTGTACAAAAACCAGATCCCGTCAGACCTCTGAAGCTGTGCAGGGCAGGGCCTGGTTAATACTGTGATGGGAGACGTCTGGGAACACCAGGTGCAACAGTGGGGCAGCTACGGCTGTACAGTGCCAATCTGTTGTGTTCTTAGGCAAGACACTTCAACCACAAAGGTTAGAATGAGTCTGAGTGTGAATGGTTGGTGGGGGTGGGAGGGCCAATGGCACAGACTAGTTGCCAGCTTCTGTTAGTGTGCCCCAAAATATACAGTATGTCCAATAGGTCTGGCATGCGCCTCCTGTTCGGCGACCCCGCTCTCTGTGTGGAGTGAGAGACAAGTGCCAAAAAACAACAATTGTAAACCACTTTGTGACTCTGGTCTGTGAAAGGCGGTATATAAATAAACATTACTTACTTACTTACTTACCCAGGGCAGCTGTGGCTACAGTAGTAGTGTATGGAGTGAAAGAATAATGGCGTGTGACGTGTCTTTGAGTGTATAGAAAACCAATGCATAGGTTTTTATTATTCACTGATATTTGGTTGCAGTTTGTAAGTGTGAGTGTGATGTAGTTGTTCAAAGCTGTTTGGACCAATGAGAGCCATCCATCCATCCACAAAGTGTAAACAGATATAAAATCAATTTGTTCAGGTGGTTTTTTTCAGCTTTGTGCTTTTCTCTGATTATACGTTGCCATAAAATAGGCCTCGTGCTCTCAGTATACAATTCCACTTTGTAAATAGAAAATCAAAAGTCCACAGAGCTGATAGTGTGCGGTGAGTAATCAACTTCTCTGTCATTTTGTACGCATTATTTGCGTGGACCCCGGCCCTTTTCTTCCAGAGATCACCCAAAAGGGGTTTTATGATTTTATGTTGCTTTTGAAAGCCACAAATAAACGGAGTTGGGGATAAAGCTTCTTTGTAGAGTGTGTTACATAAAGCCTTTCATGAATTGTGATGAGAAAATATTTATTTTAAAGGAGAAAAGGAGAAGACAATGTGAACACCAAGATATCCAGTTTAATATTGTGGAAAAGATGAGGTCTGTGGTTATTCTTGTCTATTTACTTTGTTCACATTGTGGGGGTACTTTTGTTGACATTTTCTGAAGTTGTGTTTGGATTGAAACTGGACCAAAATGTAAAACTCATTACTGATACTGTATATCGGTCAATCTCAAGTATGTTGCCCCCCCTTTATACTTAATACTGTTGATTTGACACTTCACAATTCAGAATGTTTTATTTATTCCCACACAATGCAAACTTCCTTCAGAGGTTGTGCTGAGGCGGTGCTGGAGACTCTCTGGTCTGACCCTGTGGCGTGTCGCAGATGTGCTCCATCTCTGCACAGACCAGGACCACTTTTGGGTTTGTTTATGAGTCCTTGTGGAGGAGCATCCGGAGGAGAAAAGTCATGAGCCAGGAAAAACATACGGCTCCACCGGGATCCCGACACCTGCCACTGGACTGCTGCGAACACTTTTGGAATCATTAGGAATTAAAGGAATCTAATGACTTTGCAAACAATAAGGAGTCATTTTCTGGGTGGGCGAGCGAAACCCCCGCATGCGTGACTTCTCCCGTCTGTGGTGCAACCTGCTGGGCTTGTAGTGCGAGTCGGTGGGTGGAGGTGAGTCTGGGGTAATAATAAGCGCCGAACAGAATATGGAAATCAGCACTCATGTGGCCCGCTATAACAATAACGGTGATGATGAGAAGTATATTGTGTTGTTTTTTTCTCTGCTTTGCTGTTGTAATATTCTTCAAAGCAGACCAAACAAAATGTACACGATCTTTGTGGGGAAAATAAGTAAAAATATAAAAGAAATGGATGAAAAAAATACATACATGACTTCTGTAATCTAAAATTAAAGTAAATTGACTGGCAAAAATATGTATTCTGCGATTTGAAGTCAAGGTTTAAGGTCTCACCTTCGTAACCAAGCTGTACAAATGATTATATTGATGAAGCTGAAAATGTATAAAATAATGAGGGACTGAAGAGGAACAACTACAGCATGGTTAGAAATTAAAAACAATAGATCCCCTTGAGTGGTCCATGCATCGCCTCTTGTAGCTGCCTCCGTGACATACACAGCTGCATCACAATATTCTGAGGAGGAGAACAATTTGTCTTCAACCGCAAATATCAGCAGGTCTTTTAATAAACGAGCGACCCACCTCGAACAACTGCTGTTAATAAGAAAGGGCTGGACCAGACCAGGTTCAGATCCAGCCTCCCACCAGCAGTCAAACCACCACGTCCTGTTGCAGGCAGAGAAGGTGGGATTTTTACGGACTTTGGACAATGGCAAGTTTTTCTCACAAAGGAGGAGGCCATTTCACGGAGCTACTGTAATTGTTGTAAATGTCAGGGGAATAATACCGCTTCACACGACAGGCTGCCTTTTAACGCCAAAATGTTGGATTTGAATGAAGTGTGGAGCTTTGTTATTGTAATCATCTTGTGCAATCCTGTAATTCTGCAGATGTCAGATGTGTCAATGTTACTCAGATAAAAGTGGAGATTCAGAATGTTTTTGAATATCTTGGATTTGTATGCGTCAGTTCCATAAAAAAGAAAAAGATTGAATCAACTGCAGTAAAAACGCCTTTACAACAAGATTTTCTTCTAGATCACAAAACAACCCATGCCAATGTGTTTTCTGCTTTATTTATTGTGTTTGAACTGTTTGATTATGTTTGTAGAATATTGTTTTTAAGTTATCATTTTAATGAACCATATGTGGCTCCAGAAATCCTGCAGGGGGTTTGTATGTGAATACATTTTGCCAAGAGGATGCATGGGCCTTGTTTGAAGTTTGGTGTTTTTTGTCTCCTTGAAAGACAACCAAGTATTAAAGAAAGTCTGAACTAATGTTGGCAGTCACAGATTCTCTGATCTGTCCACCAAGAGAACTACTCTTGTGATTTAGGGCTATACAAGAATACATTCAAATGAATTGGACCTAGAATCTTTTCAAGATCCATCCACACACGTATCTGAGACTTCTGGCAGATGAGATATGAAACTCTTCCTCTTCTGTCTAAAAGCTCTTGCCTCAGTCCTGTAAGAGATAGAAATAATGATAATAATTTTAAAAAAACATAGTTTTGTCAATATCTCAGGTGTAATGACACCTGAGACTTGGGGGGCATCTCTGACTGCCACCCCCCTGACCCAGAAATGGATTAAAGGGTAGAAGATGGATGGATGGATGGATAATGACATTCTTTAATATTGCATAGCTGCGTTTACAAGTGACAATTTTCCAAATCCAAAAAAGAACTCATGCAAACTCTGGTGTTAGCATAAGGAGTTTCAGGAAAAATGAACCTCTTTTTGAATAAAACTCTCTGGTCTTATTTGACGAGCACATATCACCAGAATGATTGACGATTATGAGGACCAATAGTCTTGATGATCCACCCGGAAGTAGAACATCCTCCTATAAACCTTTAAGATTCAGATGACAATTTGTGGGTCCAGTCAATCATTGTAGGTCCAGAATATGACACGACCACATTGGAGGGACCTGATCCAATGTTATTTGTGCTGTTATTTTGGATTGTCTGAGTGTGCGGAGCTAGATTGGATTTGAATTTCCCATACTCCATATTGCCTGCAACACTTCATGAATCATCTTGCTGTTTTCTTTCTGCAGCCTCCACACTCACTGACACCTCGTACTCAGGCAGAGGCTCGGGCAAAAGTGTGAGCGTATCCAGCCGGATTTACACCACACTTCTGATGTCCACATATGCACTTGACAATGCAGAGCTCAGGTGAGGAGATGTGCTGCATTTGCATTAGTGCTGCCTGAGCTGAGGAGGAGGAACTGACGAGACGGTGTATGGATGAAATATTCATGCAGACACTGGGGAGCCACTTAATGTCAGCTGCTAATTAACTAAAGGTCACACACTCAAGCTTTGTTTGTTGAAACAAGTAGTTGGTTCGACTTTTGCACTGGAGTCGGCCCCTGTTTTGACATGAAAGAAAACATCCAACTCTGAGAAAAATTGTGCACTGATTGAACCTGCCTTGGCAACGACATGGCTCGTCTTACAGCTATTTCAATGCAAACTGCGTAGGCCTGAAAATAACACATATAAGTCTTTCTGAACAGCTTTCCCTTCAGAGTTTATAACAAATCTGAAAATAATATAAGACATGAATTGTGTGTTTTTTGCTGTTTTAAAGTTTTGCAATACAGGGTCCCAAGACTTGAACGTCTCAGATGCACTTTTCGGACAAACTTTTCCGCAGCTTAATTTGGAGTGCCCGGAGACTGATGAAGCGCCTCGGTCCTCGAGAGATTCTTTTGTATCGAGAAGCGGACGGCTTGATTCTTGATTACCAATTGTAATCAATGCTGCACCGTTACCCGCTCTAGTCCACTCAGAACCGGAGCCAATCTCCACCAGTGGATTGTCCAGAGCACTTTGCACCACGCTGCGACCCGCATCAGCCACGGACACTTAGGAACAATCATGTGGAGGGTGGTGGGCAGCCGATTATGAACAAAAAAAAGTGACTACACTGAACACTTGGAATTTTGGTTTTATTTTGTTCGTAGAGGCTGGGAAGAGAATTGAATTTAACAATCAGGACAGGTCTAGGTTTGTACAGTGGTGATGGGAGGACCTCTGCGAACTCCAGGGGCCACAGTGGACATGTTGCAGTACCACCCCGGGCCGATGGCGGTGGACCCAGAATAAGAATTATTCAATGCTAATGCACTTATCTTCTTACCTCTCGAAAACGGGTTTACAGGATGGTCCAAAAGTCGGCTCTTGGTTCCATATGTGTGTCAGTGCTGAGGGGAATGAATTTTTTTGGACCGGTCTGGTTTAGTCGCTGTGAAATGCGGCCATTTTGAAACAGCACATAGACGGCAGAAGTAATGGCACGTTAGTTTCAACGGCGGAGATAGATGTGACTACGTTTGTTATAATTTAACAGATATTTGAAATGATACCACTTTTTAAAGCAATACTTCATTACACATATTTTAAAGGTCAAACTCCTGCACAAGTTCAGGGTCAGACGCAATATCCTCATACAGTTCTACACAGCCATAATTGAAATCATTCTAACCTCAATAACAGCCAAATGTTTCATGAACAGAGCAGATCTTTTTTTTTTATATGGTAACACGCTTCTATATCTAGACACACTCTACAACAGACTCATCACAATAACGTTCAGACAGAATCCCCTCAGACTACACACACCCAGCCCATCATCTGTTCCCACTCCTGCATGTTTGTTTGTAGCACAGTGTTACCCGCATTCCTGATCTACCGTAAACAAATTCCACCAACTTGTGCTATTCAGCTGCATGACTAGGGGGCTTCCAATGTCATGACACATTTGTGCATGCATTATCCGGAATGTGCTCTATTCATTTAACGAGTGCATTCTAAAGTCCAAAAAAATGCTCGGCTCAGCATTTAACCCTAACCTTGTTTTCTAGAGGAAAGAAGACGTCATACAAAAGCATTTGGTGATTCTGTTTCCGGGTACACCCCCACCAGCAAGGAGTGAGATTACAGCCTGTCAGCGCACGTGCTCGTGGACTTTTTGGAGCTGGGAAGATTTTGCACTGACATTCCTTCGTATTTTACAAGCAATAATTCCAATCATTCTATGACAGCATGGAAGAGCAGTTGTGATAGTTTAATAATATTTCTACTTTTAAAAATTGTGTCTAATTCCCTAATTCACTGAAATAGCACGCGGTCTATTAGGAACCAAAGAATCGACACCGCTGAGTGTGAACTGTGATATTCAGTAATATTTTTAAACAATAATTTCTAAAACCAATTTTTCCTGCAAATTATTCCCAACTTCTGCTCGGAAATTTTAAACTCATTGAATTAAGTCATAATTATATGTTGAATACCACCATGAGTCTTGAGGTTTCATCTTACCATAGGTTTCTTTCTCAGCCTTCTCACTGGGACACACACCTATACAACTCCCACAGCAGTTTTACCACAGATTGTCCATAAAGCATTATAGGCAATGTTCAAGTAGTAAATAGTTTATGCTTTTGTAAGAAATTGCAGGGTCCAGCAGAGGCAATCAGAGAGCTTTGTCTGTTTCCAAATATTTGACTCTAAACTCTAGCTGAGTTTAGAGTCAGAGGACTGAGCTAACCAAAGACATATGAAATTCTACTCTTTTTATGGCCCAATGACCAACTATCAGGAGAATGGCTTTTCTGCTGTGTCCCCAGAGTCCATCTGGCTCTAGACACAGATGTCTGAATCTGCAGAGTAGCTCTCCCAGCTGCACACTGAAGCACAGGTTTCTACTGCACGACCATCCAATCTGTCGTATCATACTGACCTCCCTCATGTTGTGTCTCTGACTCACCATTTGAAGCAAGTTTATTGGTATAGCACAATTCATACACTCAAAGTGCTGAACAACATAAATAATTGCACAGCTATACAAAACTGTTTTTAATCATTAATAATTGTCAGAGAAAAGGCCCGTGTCACAATTTCAGGAAGATTGTTCCAGATTTTAGCTGCATGAATCCGAAAGTCGGCCTCCCCATGTTTAGTTCTGAGTCTGGCTCCAGCAGGAGGCCTGTCCCTGTGCTCCTCAGAGTCCCAGCAGGAGGCCTGTCCCTGTGCTCCTCAGAGTCCCAGCAGGAGGCCAGTCCCTGTGCTCCTCAGAGTCCCAGCAGGAGGCCTGTCCCTGTGCTCCTCAGAGTCCCAGCAGGAGTCCAGTCCCTGTGCTCCTCAGAGTCCCAGCAGGAGGCCAGTCCCTGTGCTCCTCAGAGTCCCAGCAGGAGGCCAGTCCCTGTGGTCCTCGGAGTCCCAGCAGGAGGCCAGTCCCTGTGGTCCTCGGAGTCCCAGCAGGAGGCCAGTCCCTGTGCTCCTCGGAGTCCCAGCAGGAGGCCTGTCCCTGTGCTCCTCAGAGTCAGGGCTGGTTCATATGGTACATGTAACAAACAGAGCAGATTTAAAGTCTATTCTCTGAGCCAAAGAAGCCAGTGCAGAGACCTGAGAACTGGACTAATGTGGTACTCCAAGAAACAATTTGCCGTCCTTTGTGTGACCTTGGTCTGTGAAATGCTGAAAACATAAAGATTACTCACTCACTTACTGTTCTATCTAAACTATATTATAATCTTCCATAGCCACAGCTGCCCTGGTGCAGAATGCTGGAAGTGAGGCTGGCAAACTGCGCCACCTTCGCTTTCAACCACCATCACTACATTTAAACAAAGCTCACGGTGCAGGTAAAAATGACTGAATTGATTATTTTCAATGGAAAGTGAATGTTTACCCTTCAAGAAGTCATGGACGCAGTGTCTGCTTAAATAATCCTTTTGCTAGGATCACGACTGGCCCTGTCATTCCGCAGGCTCGGTCACAAAATAAGCTATAAAGCAAGCAGGGGAATATTCTCTGGTGCTCTCTGGCTGTCTTAATATGCTAATGCCATTTATTTGGGCAGCAAACATACTCTTGCCCTTCAGCGTCTTTATTCTTTAATGCGGATGCAAATGAGGCCTATTTGAACCTAAATGTAGACAAATGTGTATTTTGTTGCTGAGCCCTGCTGACTGGCGCCTGAGCCGGTGTGCATACCAATCATGTTCTGTCCCACAATCCCCTTCTCTCTCTCTCGCTCTCTCTCTCCAATTCACTTTTTTCTCATTCCTTCATTCAGACGGCTCTCATTTTAACCTTTCTGCCTTTTTGGGAACACAATCTCGCGGCCCACTCGTAGCGTCGCTTTAAGAAATATGGCAAATGGTCTTAATAGTGGCAGGGCGAGCGTCTGGGAGGAGGAGACGGGGTCATATGTATTCATTTTATTGTTATTACTTGTTAAGAATGATTCTCAAGGTCTCAATCCACAATCCCTGGCAGTTTTACGTTCACAAGATATGTCCTTGGTAATAATGGTAGCGTTTACAGAACAACAACGTGATGGATTCTAATGCACGAAACCTTACGCCTCTACGGATACACTTCATTATTTTTAAAAAGTGATATGGACATTAATGGGATACAGACAAGTATGTAAACCTGGCAACAAATCAGTCGCAAGTGGCGCTCTTCAAATGCACTGTCTATAAATAATACAAAGTCAGAATTCATTGTAGTTATTTGTATTAAACATGTGCTTTATGTCCATTGAAGAAAACCCAGGGGAGCCTTTTCAGTAGGTCATTAGCTTATAGCTTGTGGGCTTGGTTAAGAAGGTAACTAAATAAATCACACTGCTTTTCATAATGGCTACGTAACAGTGTAACAATATCGTCAACTGTGGCCTTACCACAACATTGTACTAATTTAATGTTGTACTAAGGTCTGGAGCTCCGTTAACAAGTGGGAGGGGCTAACTCCTTTTGCAGATTGAAACAATTGGATCTGACTTTACTGTGGCTTATGTAATGCACCAAGCTTTAGCCATCTCCTTCAATATCAGAGCCCGTGGGGGGTAGAGGCACAACATCTTTTCCAGCAATGACATTTGCAAAATATTCCTCATCCATGCACAAGGCAAGGCAAGTTTTTTTGTATAGCACAATTCATACACAAGGCAACTCAAAGTGCTGAACAAAACAAGAAAGCATTAAAATCATAAATTATCACAGAACATTAAAAAGAAAGATAAAAACATAAAATTCCTCAGTTGTAGCACAGCTAAACAGAACTGTCTTTAACCTGGTTTTAAACATTGTCAGAGAGGAGGCCTGTCTCACATCTTCAGGAAGACTGTTCCAGATTTTAGCAGCATGAATCTGAAAAGCAGCCTCCCCATGTTTAGTTCTGACTCTGGGCACTAACAGGAGTCCAGTCCCTGTGCTCCTCAGAGTCCCAGCAGGAGTCCAGTCCCTGTGCTCCTCAGAGTCCCAGCAGGAGTCCAGTCCCTGTGCTCCTCAGAGTCCCAGCAGGAGTCCAGTCCCTGTGCTCCTCAGAGTCCCAGCAGGAGTCCAGTCCCTGTGCTCCTCAGAGTCCCAGCAGGAGTCCAGTCCCTGTGCTCCTCAGAGTCCCAGCAGGAGGCCAGTCCCTGTGCTCCTCAGAGTCCCAGCAGGAGTCCAGTCCCTGTGCTCCTCAGAGTCCCAGCAGGAGTCCAGTCCCTGTGCTCCTCAGAGTCCCAGCAGGAGTCCAGTCCCTGTGCTCCTCAGAGTCCCAGCAGGAGTCCAGTCCCTGTGCTCCTCAGAGTCCCAGCAGGAGGCCTGTCCCTGTGCTCCTCAGAGTCCCAGCAGGAGTCCAGTCCCTGTGCTCCTCAGAGTCCCAGCAGGAGTCCAGTCCCTGTGCTCCTCAGAGTCCCAGCAGGAGTCCAGTCCCTGTGCTCCTCAGAGTCCCAGCAGGAGGCCGGTCCCTGTGCTCCTCAGAGTCCCAGCAGGAGTCCAGTCCCTGTGCTCCTCAGAGTCCCAGCAGGAGTCCAGTCCCTGTGCTCCTCAGAGTCCCAGCAGGAGTCCAGTCCCTGTGCTCCTCAGAGTCCCCGCAGGAGTCCAGTCCCTGTGCTCCTCAGAGTCCCAGCA